CCATCCATCGAGAGTCGGCAAATTGTTAATACTAGCACTGGCTCGATATATCGGCAGGCAATCGGGTGTCATTGTGAAGGACTGATATGGGTTCAATCACCTCTAACGATGCTTGATGAAGTCGAATTCTTGGCGCATCCCACAGAGATTAATGAACACCGAGAGCTTTATCCTTTTACTATATGCCAAATAGTTAAGTAAGAAATATTCTTTAAAATTTTATTGATCACCAGTGCATACAACAAATGGTTGACCTGAAGTTTTTCCTTTTTTTACAAATTGATTGAACGGCAATAATTCCTTCAACCACGTAATTTGTCCCTACGCGTTTAACGAAATCGCTTAGGCAAATCGGTTGGAATAGAAAAAATGTCTAAACGACCTGATACACCAGATTCTTTCATATTTTCCTTCACTTTGAACCATTCTGAATGCTCAGTAAAAATCAACCACGGCTTTCTAAATGAAGTAAGGTCATGAGAGCCTAATTCTCTTATGAAGGGAGCGTGTAATGCAGTGGTTACGGGCGCACTGCATTACACGTAGGTTCGATCTCGTGCCCCAGGCTCACCAAGCCTTCCATCCTTCCATTGTTGGCAGATTGGTGCCAGAATGGCATTCGTGGATGGGAGTACTGATTCAATACAGCGACAGCCCACCGCGAGTCATTGTATGGGCCAGATATGCATCCAGTCATCTCTAAACGATGCTTGATGAAGTAGAATGCATAGCGCCTTCCTGAGGTATTGATCAACGGCGTGAGCTCTGTCCTTTTGTTTTTGTAACTCTGTTATGTTTTTCAATGTTGTGGAATTGGTCTTTCATTGTTTGTTTATTATTTAAATCCATTGATGGAGTTTTGCCTTCATTCCTATTGATGCAGTTCTCTTCTCAAGCGTTGAAAATTCTATACCGTATCGTCCGGTAGCAGGTTTCTAGATTCTTGGTGAATTTTCGACTCGCTCTTCTGTTGATTTCAGACGTGCTCTCAGCAAATGGCTTGGACCACTTGATGTATGTGGGACCACGGATGTTATTCTTTCTTTTCTGTACTCTTCTACTCTATCACAATGTTCATTGTTTGCCTTGTTCATATAAGGTAATTGTTTCGTATTTTGACTTAGCATTCTTATTTCTGCCTTATTTCTTATTTTTCGTTCCTTTTAACGTTTTCTTTTGTGACTTTTGTATAGAACGGCTCATTTCCAACATCTGCTCAATGGACGTTGTGCCATTCCCAATTTCCTGAGGCCAAACACGGAATACTTATGAAGCTCAGAAAAATCTATAATTGATTAAACCTGGTGTATTATATGTGTAAAAATGACGCTTTTGTTGTGTTTTTTAAACCATATGATCTCAAACTCAAAATGGGCGCGTATGGCGCAGTGCGCAGAAGCGTCCTGCAATATACATGGGAGAGACTCCCGTCCCCTCGGCCCACCAAGCCTTCCATCCTTCCGGCATCGGCAAATTGGTACCAGACTTGTCTGGGTGGATAGCAGCACTGGTTCGATACATCGGTAGGCCATCGCGACTCATTGTAAAGACCAGATATGCATTCGATCGCCTCCAAACGATGCTTAATGAAGTCGAATGCATGGTGCATCCCTAAGGGATTGATCAGCGCAGAGAACTTTATCCTTAATCCTTTATGATCTCAATTGTCACTGTTTTTGCTTCAGGAATTTTATTTTATTCCTTAGTTTCCTATATTTTTATAAAGGCCGTGGTGCTGGAGGTGGGGTTTGTCAAATATTTCATTCAGAGCTTTAAGACCCTTTGAACGATTTTTCAACATTTACCAGGTTGCCTTCATATTATGATGGGTTGTCAGATTTGTTTAGAAATGTTTTAGAGAGATAATTTTTCCTTGAAAGAAACGAAAAATGCTTAAGAAAAAGGAAGTGTTTTTCTTTCTACCAAATTAGCATCCTATAACAAGTGCGTTATTGATTTCTATGGTGCATAAGTGATTTCTATCGTCGTCGCTGTGCTTATAAGCATTAGTGTACAAAACTCTTCTAAATCCAATACCATCTAGAGAACTGAGTAACTGCGCAGCGAGCAGCTGTTGTGCCCAGTGATCCGTAATGCCCTAGGCAAACAAATGCAAACAAACACTTCGCTAACTAGCGTTCGTCGTGTTGGCGGATTACGATAGACGCCTATGGGTGATTAGCGCATTTGTCCTATCAACACTTCTCTATCCAGGCACACCATGGAACCATAAGTGAACAGTACAATAGCTGGAAATATCATATGCGCTACTGGCTCTTTCAGTGATCTTCAAGTGATATGGGCTGGCGGCAGGAAATCTTCATCTGCTCTACGATTGCCCGTTTTTTTCTGTTTGCACAAGAAACGCGAGGGCGTCGTATTTCTCTTTTAGATTGTTCGTTACGGTTTTTCGACATCGATTTTGTTATCTTACTTTTCACTTGAGATCTCATTGCATCCGGCCGCTAAGGGCTCATGGCCACCCTTTGTCGCTTAGATGCATTACGTATACGGCCCATTTCATTTGTAATACCTTGCCATACGTCGTGCGACATGTAACGTTTGTCGTTGCCAAAGGTCTTAACTTTGGGTGCATTGCTTGGTTGTGTGGTAATACTTCTATATAATACTCTTAACGCCACCCTTTCCACATCTCGTTCGATGATACTGCAAGATTGCTCAGCCATCTTAGATTACATCGAGGTTTTCGAAGTGAAAGTTGAGGTGGAATGTGGGATAGGAAGAGTAAGCAATTGGCTGGTGCTCCTTGTCTTTTTCGTAGCATCTGCAATGCCCTTGTAAGCTGTACAAGCACTTCGCTTCCTGCTGAGCATATCTGGAGCGAAAATGTTCATCATATTTGCTTGTCTGCCCAGATACATACAGCTATAGTACTAGAGGTATTCGTTCCGTCAAGTGTAATGAGGCGTCAGAGGAATCCATTTCTCATAGGTAGAAGCGAATAAATATCCCCTATTAGGCACGCTTTATACTACTAGAGAGGGAAATGTTCAGTGCTAAAATCGACTTTAACGAGGTTTGATGCGTATCCTCCAACACCAAGCTCTAGTGAAGATGATGTCGAAACATTCTATAGAGATTTTTTACAGATAAGATTGCGCCTTCTATTACGAAAGAGCAGTAGTAACGTGTTGTTGAACAAGAAGGAAGACCCACAATACATGGAGGTCCTACGTCCAATTGGCATTTGTTTGTTGTCTATAAGCTTTTTACTCCAGACATATTCAACAGAACTTACAGAACATTGGACTAAGTGCAGTATTCGAGCAAGCAGAGTTTCGAAAAAGATTCATCACGATGAATCACATACATGTGACGAACCCATTGAAATATCATGATAATGGGAGAGATCGCATTATCTCACTTTCATCGATTTAAGCAAAGGTCCCGGCCCTAGTTGAGACAGAAGCATTCAGAGAGCGCTGAGCAACCAGGCCGGTGCCTTGTCATTAAACGAGGATCCTTTATGAGATGTACAACAACTTTACAACGACTATTTATTCTTTCACCAACGGCTTTATCACCAGCGTAATGACAGAGATCCAACAATAGTATCTCGTCGAAATTAATTACGTCCACTCTCAATAACGTCATGTGGACACATGTGGATTAACATAGGAGTGAAAATCGATGGCAGGCGGTTAAGGTAGTTTCGCTTTTCTATGGACAACATTCTAATAACTTGAATCACTAGCCAGGTAGAACGAATGCTGTCCGATTTCGCTACCACTTGCGGAAAACTTCCTTTTCTGTTGAATCTCAATAGAAAGACATGGATTCGTTCCTGATGCCTCGTAAAGTCTCATCGGAATAAGTACTTCCTAATATTCTATGAATAACATTCGTAAGGTCATAGCTCTAGTTTGAATAAAGAAGTGTTATAGAAAAGAAAAAAATTAATAGCTAAACAAATAGCAGACATGTAGTGAGCCAGTGCTGTTTTAAAGTTACTAAAACTTCTTTAATTATGAGGAAAAATTACTCAATGGTTCCATGCTTTTTATGGCTGCTGTGGTTTTCATTTTAAAGCTAAAGCTCTAAAGCTCTCGATGTTGATCAATCCCCGAGGGTTTTGCCATGCTTTCGATTTCATAAAGCATCGTGTACAGCTGATTGGATGCATATCTGGCCCTTACAATGACTCGTGGTGGCCTACCGATGTATCGGGGCAGTGCTGCTCTTCTGCCAGACAGGTCTGGTACCAATTTCACGGCGTCGAAGTGACGGAAGATCTAATAGACCAGGAGCGCGGGAATCGATTCCATGTGTATTGCAGGGTGCCTCCAATCATTGCGCCACACGCGCCTTTGGTTTTCGCTTTAGTAGTATTTTATGAGGCTATTTGCAATTTGTAGGGGGCGCGTGTGGCGCCGTGGTTGTAGTCACCACTGCGACACACACATGGAGTTGATCCCGGCGCCCATGGCCAGTCAAGCCTTCCATCCACCCAGGATCGGCAAATTGGTATCAGACTTGTCTGGGTGGATAGCAGCACTGGTTCGATACATCGGTAGGCCATCGCGACTCATTGTAAAGACCAGATATGCATTCGATTGCCTCCAAACGATGCTTAATGAAGTCGAATGCATGGTGCATCCCTAAGGGATTGATCAACGCCAAGCTTTTATTCTATCCTTTATTTGCAGTTGTGACTCTATTATTACCATTCTTTCATTGGTGAGCTAATGGCCCATGGGCGTAAAAAGCCTAATAGAATACGTGTTGATTTATCATACCGAAATTAAAGGGAAGTCGGTTTTTGTATTAGATTTTTAGTGATATCACTGACGATACAAGCATCTCTTATTAGGACAAACATTTATTCTTTATCCTTGCGTGTGGAAATTAGGGTTGCATTGAAGAGTTTTTGGAAAAAATGTGTTCTACCTCCATTGTGTACAGTCAAGAAAAATGAAGACGTTTCTTATCCGACTCCTTACCATTTCATTATCAAAAATGTAAGGAATGGATTTTGTAGAAATGGGCTGATGGTGCTGAAAATACTACATTATAAATTTCAGTACCCCCGCGTTGAAGACGTACTGTTCGAAGTGCCCATCGAGCCATCGCGTCAGAGGCGAGCCGCCAAATCTGAGCCAAGTTTTGAGCCACTTCGCATCTACTTGCACTACGATAAATCCGTTCTTGAATTGTCAAGTGAGAAGCAATTGTTTGTAAATGTAAGTTCCGTCGAAATTTATAGTCACAAGGGGAAAAAGTTTCCTGGTTTTAAACATTTCCGTAAATGTGCTACGCCACGTTTGTTCTCTGTGCATTTGCTAGAGAGATGTATAAATTCATATGGGAAATTAACAGATAACCTTCGAATAGGAAGGGTTCAGTTTGCTTGGACTGCGATCGAACGATGACTTTGTGGTGTGCAACTTCATAAAACCTTCTATTTAGAGTTCACTTCTACCAGAAGCTGCCGGTTACTGGGAGAATGCGCTTCGTGTTGCTCGTACTGACGGTCCGATTCGCCTTCGGCGGTGAGTGTTTTTTATTTCCGATAGGGACACAGTAGAAGGACAGATTAGGGCAGAATTTACAAACGAGGTTTAAATCTAAGTACACTCGTTGTTTCGTTTTTTGGCAGGTGTGTTTATTAAATCTCTCCAGGATGCGTCCTCATGCAAGTTGCCGAGATCCTATTCTATGTCTCCTATTCATTAGACTTTTTTTCGACATGACGTTTTTTAATTCCTTATTATTTAAACTTAACAGAGCTTGTAACTGCAGTTGTGGGTTCTCCCCACACGTCTAAAATTAACCGAATTTTTTATACTGCTTGGATGTTGCCATCATTATTCATAGGTGAATAAATTAAACTGTGAATAAATTAAAAGTCGAAATCCTCAGCTGGACTTCGAATCAGCGATTACCCTTACCAGGAGCTCACGGCCTATCCTCCGTTTCGTCGGAGGCGCTTGTTCAAACATTTTTATTTCGACTGCAGCTTCAACTTAACTAGGTTCGGTGCTGATTTGTGGTCGTCAGATCGTTGCCATTAATAGGTTATTGGAGACAACTCTGACAGGGTAAAAAACATGGCGACGAGAAAGGCAAAGCAAGGGCCTTGGTTGGTGTGGTGCACAGAGCCCCTGCTAAGGGTAACCGCGGATTCGAAACCCAACTGAGGTTTTCAGTTTTGTTCATATCTCAGAATCCTTGTAGTTGTATTGCACGTCGTCCGATGAGGTGAAAAAAAAGTAGACACTAAATAAGAGTTAGAACTAATTATATAGTGAGGGTAGGTATGAATCAGTATCATATTATAGGTTGCGGAGAGGAAAGCAGACTTAGCCGGTATGAATTAAGTATGGTGCTGATAATGGTTTCTACTGTATGCTTTAAACAAACATCTCAGCACAATATGAACTCCAGAAACTTAGAATCTTTGGATCTTTGCTACTTTTACCTTATTCTATCATGGTGACATTTTGCTCTTTTGAGATTGCCCATATGATGTATTTTTTCGGTCGAGGCTTGTATTTCGAATAACAGATCTATTGAGCTATCGAGATCTCGTCCAGAAAAGAATTTGCATCTCATCTTCAGCTTTTTGAAGACTTAAATTCTACAGAACAGTAGAATTAAAGTAATGTTCTATGAAGATATTAACACTCTTGAGCAATAGATCGAGGCCTCTTCCACAAATCTCTCAAGCTCTCAATTTCTCGGGTAGTTTCGTTAACGAGAAATTTCGCAAGATGACAAAAATTGGAAATCAGACCGTCTATGTTAAGAGGATTACTTGCATCGAATGGCCCGTTTTTTTTTTACGAAGAATCGTGCCGCTCCCACTATAATTTCAGTTTCATTGGTATGTTGCTGATATGTTTCTACTAGAATAAACAACATGGGTACCATTGTACAACTAGTTTTTTCCAGGTGGTTGACGAATTCTTGAAATTCATGAAAAGCTTTATGGAATGATAGTAAATATAAATTAGCAAGAACAAAAAATTAACTTGGTGGTGGTCCGATACCGCTTCAGCTAATCAAGCCTTCCATCGCTCCGGGGTCGGGAAAATGGTAAAAGATTTGTCCGGGATCAGGCCACTCCATCGAATTCACGTGGAAACGCTCTACTACGGACCAAGGATTCCAAGGAGTGACTCGACTAATATTTAACTACATCTCAATGAAAAAGAAAATCTTTTCAAGCAGTGCAGCTGAACCCAATCACGAAAAGTTCGAGGACCTTCGTGGTTATACATATCATGTCTAACCATGTAAAATGAAGTAAAAAATTAGTGACTAGTAAGAGTAATTAATTACAGTGCGAGATAATAGAAATGGTTACAATTGCAATGAGAGCGCTTCTATCACGATGGTCAGAAAGGCGCTGCTGTACACATGTGGTCGTTGTTTCGATCCTGCTTCATCCTGTTTTGGCCTATAGGTCTCCATCAGCCTTGTATGGGAGAATGAAAACACTGATTTGATACATCGATAAGCATTCCAAAATCACTGTGTAGGCCAAATACGCATTCGCTCACCTCTACGGTGCTTACCTGCTTTCGAATGCATTGCGTGTCCTTAATAGATTAATCAACCTCGAACACTTTGCACTGCATTGTTTTATCTAAGTTCCACTAGAAAAGGGGTGGGTGGCACAGTGGAAGTGAATCCACTCATCAAGAGTACTGTGCTGGTCGATCACGCTGCAAGCTTACCAAGCCTCTTATCCTTCCGGTGTTGGGAAATTGTTACCGGACATGTCTGAAAAAGATGCATGCTCTGACATCCAAGTGGGATCACTCTAATCTGGCTATCTCAGGCCTGCAGGAACACTCGACTCAACGAGCATTCAACGACATTCATGAGGAAAAGAAATTCCTCAAGCAGCAGCCGAAGCCACGCGTAAAAAGTTGGAAGACCTTCATGGATGATAATTGAAAAAATTACGCTAGACATTAAAATAATAAAACTTGGTGCAATTGGCAGTCGTATTGTTCGTAGAGATAATAGTTTTCAGCAAATGCGTTTCTTCCTACTACTACTTTCAAAACGAAAAGAAGACAGTAGCATGCGATCGAGGCTGTCGCGAATGGACCACTTGCGGTGACGCCATCATTCCACAAGAACACCTACTGGTCAGTTTACTCGGAACGCTTTCCGTTAAGTGGAACCTTGAGTTCTCTTTAAAGCTGTTTAAATTTAGGGAACAATTTTGCTAATGGTTGTGAAGACATTTTGTTTAATATATATGCTGCTTTCAAATATATGGTCGCTGGTTCGACCTCATTTGAGTGTTATCCACACTGATTCCTTACTTTTTTTTGTAAGAGCCATTGTTGATCGTGTAGGAGTTTCTGAGCTTTTACTAATAAGAATCGAGCTTTGTCGATGTGGATAATCATGCCAAAACCAGTGTAACGATGGGGAATTGCGAGGGTCACTGTATGGGGACTATAAGGAATGACATTTCAATTGTCACTTGTCATCTGGCTGCTCACATACTGCAGTAGTTCTACAGTGTAGCTGACTATAGCACTTCATAGTTATCGTTTATGCAATTCCGCCATAATTAATGTGGATATTGAAGAGTTCCTTTTATGAACGATGAGTAGTGTCATTTTTTCAGGGTAAAATATAAATTTTATACAAGAAAACACACCAGAATTGTGCATAAGTAAGGCTTTGGACTAAATAAATATGGATCGTGATCGTTTATTTAAGAATAAGAAGCGATAAAGCGTTCGGCGTTGATCAATCCCTGAGAGATATGCCATGTATTTGACTCCATTCATAGCATCATAGAGGTCGCTGAATGAATGTCTGGCTGATGCGATGACCATGGGTAACCTAGAATTTATCGAACCAGTGTTTTTACTCTCCCAGACAGGTCTAGTGCCCATTCACCAACCTCTTGGCCATGGACCTGGATCACCCAAAGCGCGAATTCGAACTAATGAATATATGTGTGTTGCAGAGTTGGTCTAGCCACTACGCTACATGCATCTCACGTAATAGTAAAAATAAAGGATATTGTAGCTGATAGTGATAGTGGTATATGATTTATTATTCATTCCAGGAATGTTCGTATTGTTTGTCGTCGGAGGACTGTTACACAACCGGTGAAAAAGGAAAGGGATTGAAGTCAGTTACTCTCTGTAATCGTTTATAAATCCTGCAGCTCTTCTTAAGGTGCTCAATGAAGTTGAATTTTATTTTAGTTTCTGAACATCTTTAATATATAGGGACGCAGATTTCGTGCTTTATGTGACGGCGATTTCGACGAAGCGATGCGATAGTGTGGATACACTTGCTTACGCCGCTCACTGTCAACAGGAAGCTGTCCTTGACAGGTGCTATCCATATTGTCGTGAACTAAAGAACGCTGATGCATAGCGGTTCGAATGTTATTTGTTAGACTCTGGGATCTTGGTTTACTCTAAGTGTAAAATGCATTATGGTCGACGCACCACCAGTCCATATGTGAACTCTGTCTCTTATCAACAGATGCATTATCCAAGCTTTTCATCGCCATAGAAACAACTGTTAGATGGCTCATTGCCGAATTATAGGACAGTTGCTCGTTTATTAGTTATTCCATCATCAAGCCATTGTACGGAAGAAATCCGACACTATTCATTTTTTATAAATGCACTGTGTAGATAGTGGCGTGCATTTCTCCAAGATAGATGGACGTTATCCATTTTTTCCTACCGTTATTGCGGAGTTCGGAGGTTTACTTTTTATGAAGTAGTAATACGTAAGTTATTAAGTAAATGAAATTAATCGCAAGGTTTCCTAATGTGGGAAAACTCCAGACTTTTAAGCATGGGGCTATTTGAAGTCTACTTGACGGATAGGGGTTAAACGTAGACCAAAACAATAATGTAAATCCCTAAAGTTAGGGGAAGTTCGGTAGACGGATACTATGTTCTGTCACGCCCACTTGATTTGTTGGCTGACTTTTCAGTGTACACTTGATGTCCAATGGTCTTTGGCTGTCTCGTGTATGTGCTATTGATGTCATGCACATTGATTTAGCTATAAATCTGTAAACAAGTGACTAAAGAGTATGTTTAAGGTGGAGCTGCCTACAAGAAGTAAGGGGACATATTCTTTAGGAGAAACCACAAGTATGCCACGCCTTCACTTTTGCTCTGCCTGTGGCTACTCTTTTTTGAAATTGTTGAAGAAGGCATCATGCGAAAAGTTTAATGTTATTCGTTCTCCTAAAGTGGATGTAAGTGTTTAGTTGAGTGACAGAGACCTACCTCCACATCCCCTGAGTGGTTATGTAACAAATGAAGGTGGCAGGAGCAATAACTGTGAAAAAACATGAAATTTTTTATGAGACTGATATTCGAAGGGCTTCAGAGACTCTAACCACAAGTTTCTAAGTATTCGAACTTTTCGAATATCGACTTGCGCTCTTATTATCCTTACAAAATCCGGTCTCTTGCACCTGACGACGGTGAAATTTTCAGACCAGTCGCCGGGCATGTGAATCTGTGCCCATCGGCCCTGTCCACACATCGACATGATAGAGAGATCCTGCTGTCAACGGTGAAGCACGAGATTCTGCACGCACTTGGCTTCAGTGTGGGACTTTATGCGTTTTTTCGCGACGAGCACGGAAAGCCGCGTACAAAACGGTGGTTATTTTCATTTCATAGACAAAAATCGTCTTCAGTACTTTTTCAGCTAGAAGCCACGAATCTGCAATATTTACTAGCTGCTCATCTCAGGAAAGTCTTTCTTGGTACTAAAGTGTAAAAGTGAAGTATTATATGCTATAACTTCTATGACACTGAGATATTTGCAAAACTGCGGACCGCAGGTGTCTGCGGTGGAGAACGAACGCGCTATTACCCTTTTCGGTGGCAATCGCGTTCACCACCACACCATGTGGGTCCTTCGTTTCTCAGCTAGTTCTATCGATCAGGCCATCAGCAGTCACCAGTCAGCGGGATTGATCTGGGGAGCCAAAATCGACAATGAACCCAGTTAAACTGAGGCTGTAGTTATAATCACAATCTTAACCTTTTTATTTACTGCCTGTTCTTTTTAATGGCAGAGTATGTTGCGAAATATAACTTCTGTGTTGCTGAGATTTTTTGCAAAACTCCGGCCAAACAAATATCTCAGTGTCATGGAAGTTATATTTCGCAACATACCTTGCCATTGAAAAGAATAGGTAGTAAATAAAAGGTCAAGATTATTAGATGTTACTTGAGATATCTTTCTACTTCTGTTCAGCAAGCACCTCGTGCTTGCTGAACAGAAGTAGAAAGATATATTCAATCAATGCCGAGGTTAATAGAAAGTCGGACTTGGGAGTTACTTGAGATAATCCTACAAGTCTTTTCATGGCAGAATTTTTTCCAGGAATCGTTACGGAAAACCGATTTCGCTAAACAAAGAGTTGGGTTACTACGATTGGGACCGTAGCACAATCACCACGTTGCTTCGACAGGATTGGTGGACAGGAGACGGCAGGGTGGGTTTTTACACTCGGCATTTCCATTTGGCCATTGAACATTCTCACACTAAAGCTGAGTTATTCCGATTAAGAGAGGTGTCTGGTTGCATTGGAGCTCCAGTCGAAACGAACGAAAATCTGTATTGGCGATTTGATTACCATACATGATTCCGTACCTCTCAGCTCTCCCAACAGTTTACCGCCTCATCGTGGCAAGGGAAATGTTCCTGGATGTCGGGTTGCGATGTACGAGGGGACTCACCCCCAGCAGGGTCACCCAAGCTGAACAGTCTGGCTTTTCCATGAGGAAGCCCAACTAAGAGTAAACTACTACTAATACCAGGATCAACCATCGTTTTGGTATCAAACTAGTCGCATGGTGAAAAATTTTCCTCTGATTCACAAGGGTGGCGACTGCCTGTGGTGGTGACGACCTGAGGAAGACTTTGGCCGGGATGCCCTCAGGACTCCAGGGAAATATCGTTGGAATATGTTGTCAATTTCTGCAACGTGGTTTCTTATCTCCGATGAAATTGTCTCATAAAAAGAAAAATTAATTGCTTTTATGCTTATTAAAGGTTCATCTCAGTGTGTTCAGGTTGTGCATCCTGTCCACATGGTGGTCACCCCACGTGTTGTCGACGAGGCTCGTCGCCATTTCGCCTGCGGCTCACTGGAGGGAGCCGAACTGGAGAATCAAGGCGGCGACGGCACGGCGCTCACACATTGGGAGAAGCGCGTATTCGAGGTAAGTCCGATGAAAAACGGCGTTTCTTGTTATTTTTGTGTTAATAATCAAGCCTAGGATTAAACGATATCAGTGCTAACTTGGTACGCACTTCATTTTTATATGACGAGATTTGAAAATATTTTAATTGGGTTATTCATTACGAAATGTCCGATCTCACAGTGTGCTTGAGTTAGGCTTTTTTATTAAATGTATACTTTAAGTTTTTTATCTCAGTAATCTTGCACTGTGTCAATAATTTTACAATCCCCTAAGAGTTCAATGCCTTATGGTATCTGAGGGTGTTCCTCGGAGCACTAGGATGCGGCGCAGGTGACCTCCCAATAACAAGGATGACCCAAGCTGACCTGGAGTTTAAGATTGCCTTCCAGTTGGTTAACTAAGAGCGACCCAGCACCAGGAATGCTTACCATCCTAGGAATCAACGTACTCACTAGTTGGTAAACGGTGGCGGTCCGGAAAAATCCCACCACGGCTTCCGAAACTCCAAGGAAAGAAATTTTGTCCTGACCGCCAAATTATCTATCACTCAAATGGGAACTGCGCCGGGTGCTCGCACGTTCTCAGAAATTCCTAAATGACCATTCAAGCTTTCCATTCACGATTATTCTCTGTCTTATTGCATTTTGCTTTTCTTTTGTACAGAAATTTTACGATAAATACATTTTGAAACATTACCTATTAACTGTAGCTGTAGGGTTTAATGTAGGAAGGAATGTAGGAATGTAGGATCTACGTTTGAATTTGATCGGAATCTTCCCACTAAGAATTTCACAAAGATCTCAGTGTATAGCAGAAAATCCGAATATTTGTGGATTTCATGCTATATGCGAAGCCTGTAAAAGTACCATCGGGAAACGTGCAAAGATGGAATTGAACATGGAATTAAAAATAGTAATCGATTGATATCAGTGGTGATTGTCCCTTATCTGATTAACATCAATGTTTAAAGGGTTTTGTTGGCTAAAATTTCTTCTCTTTACCTTTACACACACTGTACGTTCAGAACGAAGCCATGACTGGCACTCACACTCAGAATCCAGTGTATTCGCGCGTGACCCTGGCCCTTCTGGAGGACAGTGGATGGTACAAGTCCAACTACGAGTAGGTTATTCGAAAATTACTTTGAACAACGAAGATACTGCTACTCAGTACTTTCTTTGTTATTGATTTATATAGGCCAGAATATGGAATATATAAAAACATGGACGTGACTAACACTGTGCCAAGCATGAGGAACTAAAGGGTTAAGACATATTTATTGATGTGATAGGAATTTATATTCATAGATACAACAGAGACATTACATTGTCGATTTATAAAAGAAGTGAGCGTTTGGTTGTCGTTACCGAGACTATCAGAACTTTTCGCGACACTGTAAATTGAGCTGTCAAGCTGTCACACTCAGCTTTCCCTACTTTCCTCGATTTTTGACCATTTTTGGAGTTGTATTTGTCTTCAATCTAAAGTCGATGTCTTTTTTTTTCTCCTATGTTTCACAACGAAAATGGTTGCAGAAAAGCCGAAGAGCTGCATTGGGGTCGAAAACTCGGTTGCGATTTCGTAAAGAAGAGTTGCGGTGAATGGATAAAAACTAAAATCGACAAGTTGGTCCATACTTCTTCTTTTCAATTCACTTCTTTTATGGATTTTTTCTGCCTTTTTGGTAAGGAATAAAATAGCTACATGTTAAACTAGCAGGTAGGAACCATAGTAAGCAGTAAGGAAAGAATGAATGCTATAGAGGAAGGTAAAACAGTGATATACAGTTAAAGCTAAAAAGTTTAAAAACTTCTTGGCGTTAATCAATCCTTGAGGGAGGTGCCATGCACTCGACTTCATTAAGCATCGTTTGCAGTTGATTGAATGTATATCTGGCCTTTACAATGACTCGCGGTGGCCTACCGATGTATCGAGTCAGTGCTGCTATCTTCCCAGACAAGTCTGGTACCAATTTGTCGAGCCCGGATGGATGGAAAGTCTGCTGGGCCATGGGCGCGGGGATCGATTCCACGTGTGTGTCGCGGTGGCGCTTCCAATCACTGCGCCATGCGCGCCATTGATATACAGTTAACAGTAATAAATAAAGGGAACTAACTTCCATGTGAACTCTGTACGGCTGACCACGTGGCATACTCAGTGGAAGACTCATAGAAAGCGGCTCTGTGGAAGGCGAAATCCTCCGAAACGTCAGCTTGTTCTTGAGTAAGGAATAAAATAACACCTCTTGCTAAACAAGAATATAAAGAATCATTTGATCAATCGTAAGTGTAATAGAAAGTCCGTAGTGCAAATAAATGGAACGATTAATGATTTGTAATTTCAGTGAAGAACTGCCTACACCATTTTGCAATGAGATCAAACATGATGGAACAAAGTCACTGGCCGTTACCAGGTAGAGCTGAGTTGGCTACGAACAGAACACCACATATATGCGGGTTTATTTTCTACAAAGAAAAACAATTGATCAAGTTAACCAGCATAAAATGAGGTGTATACTGCTTTTGTTGCTTTAAATAAAAAAGCTGAATGCATATCATATTCAGTCATCTATTGAACGCTCATCGATTGTCCCAACTATTGACGGCAATCACGCGCATCCTTCTAGAATTGCTAAAGCACAGACCAGCTGTAGTTCTAGCGTTTTACTCTTCCCCGTCCTGCACTCATTTTTAAAGTCGGGTAAATCATCAATCCCAAACGTTCAATGTTGTGTTATTTGGTATGGTTGCATTCACTAAACATGAACTCTTTTATCACTTTTATTCTGCTTATTCTTTTTCATGGCAGGTTATGATGTGAAATGCAGCCAGCGGCATTCTGAGATATGTGTAATGACAGAACCTCGGGCGGGCTTCGAACCCGAGATTACCCTTACTGGGACTCATGAGGTATCCACCACACTGGCCGAGACCCTTCTTTTGCCATTCTCTTAGCCATGTTTTTGCCCTATCCGTTTTATCAGTAATCACTTGTCAACGTGAATGACCTGGAAGGCAAGGTTTCGTAGGTTTGAAATACAGGTGAGGCACCGAGTTTTGCATATATCTCAGCATTCCCATGGTTGTGTTAAGTTTTTTTCTTCATTCAAATTTACTTTGTGTTTAGATGTACATCTCAACGAGACTCTTTGGCACTTTGCAACCTTGTGCCATATAAAAAGGTAATTTCTTAGGGTTTACCTGCGATTTCCTGAAAATGTTCCCGTAGCATGAGTTGATCAGGAGTCTACGGTGAGCATCTAGTCACTAGTTCGACTTCGGTTGGAGTCCAACTATGCAAATGATTTCTTAAAGGCGTTATTTTTACTACTGCTACTTGTCTTTTCGTAATCATACACTGTTTTAAAGTGAAGTTGCAACGGAAAACGACTCCTTTCAGGAGCTACCGGTGCAATTTCGGAATTTCGCTGCAATCAACGGCGTTTCAGAGGTGGGCGTGAAGCACTACGGGGGCTCAGTAGAGCTGGCCGACTTCTGTCCGTACAGCCAGGTTCGTTTTTTATGCTCTAGTTCCTCCAACAGTATACGATCAAGTAAAAATAGTAGGTGTTTGTAATAACTGCTAGTATGTGAAAAATATCGAGGTTAAACTGACAACCTGTAATAACATTCTCTACACAACTTTAAGCCCATATAACAAAAGTCAAAACATATGGCACGACAGTTGGAGAACCCATAAAGCGTAAAAAGAAGGATAAAGCTCTTGGTGTTGATCATTCACTTACGGATGCACCATGCATTCGACTTCATTAAGCATTGTTGGAGTGTTGAAGTGTTGAATGCATATCTGGCCTTTGCAATGACCCACAGTGGCCTACCGATGTATCGGGTCAGTGCTGCTACTCTCCTGGACAAGCCTGGTACCAATTTGCGGACCCTGGAGTGATGAAGAGCTTGGTGGGCCACGGGCGCAGGAATCGATCCCATGTGTATTGCAGGGCGCCTCCGACCTCCACACGTGCCATGTGACAAACCCATAAGGTTGTTGAAGTATTTAAAAATGTTTAAAAAGTTGCAGAATCACCAGGAAAAATTCTCGAAAGGTTGCATGTTTGGCGTAATAATCGATGGGGAACACGATATAAGCGCTCGTAAACTTTCCTGGATTTTAGACAACGGGAAAAAATATTATGAGCGTCTATCTAGTTCAAACACCAGCAGTTCCTATTCAGTGTTTCGATCAAAGGAGCAATTGTGATGAGAAGGCAAAATTAATTAAGAAGAATCAAAAATCTACTATATCTTTTCAACAGAGTGCTTGAAAATCGGTGAAGAGGTGAACTACTAAAAGAAAAGGTCAAACAAGGGAAACAAGAACGCATCCTTCCTTTTCTTAGGAATTCGAATGGAAATTGCCAAACACGACAATACGACGAGACTCGCGATGCGAGCTGGAGGGCAACAATCGGGAAGGAGAAGATATCTTGGAGGTGAGAAAACTATACTCACTAACCAATGTGAAAAATGCCCAAAATTCGGCACATTGGTGAGCTTGTATTGAGTCACATTTGATGAAACAAACGCTCAAACGACACGGTTTGTAAACGGATGTAGTGAATTGTGGAATAGAGAAAAAATTTCTGAGCATGAAACGTCTGCGCTAATCGACCAGAAGGAGATGATTTTTAGGTAGCCAGATTTCTTGTTATAGCTGGAAAACTGTTCTGACTTTTCCGTATCTATAATCTTGTTGATCACCAAGTAGCTAGAAAGGGGGTCAACGAGCTCCATTCGTCTCCTCTGCCTCGTCGGAACTACTCACTTTTCCCTCAGGGTATACGAAAGTAGGCCTGCTAGGGAATAGCAACGAATACCACGTTGAACTGTCGTTGTGTAAATTTACTGCAAGCTGATAGTCCAATTCCTTCTCAACTTGAGTAAACCTGCTTTGAGAGTGAACCCCTGCTATAGGTCGCAGTTCAACAACCAGTAGAGAACTTGCAACTCCGATAAGGTTGTGAATAATAACAAGAATAAATGAATACGTAGAGAATAAATAGGACGATTTTCTAATTATTACAGGTATATGGAACATCGTCGCGATGTTTTGATTTCAAACAACCGTGGGTAGAGCGGAAATGTGGCCGAACGAGGTCGTTGTCGCACTACATGGCCGGATGCTATGAGGTGCCAGCGGTTGCACCTAATCACTTTTTCACTTTAATCAGGCCGTTAAGCATGAAAAGAAACGATAAATATGAAATATAGTCTCTAATCATCTGGAAGGATAACAAATTGGGTTGTTACCGCAACAGTTTTCGATTTCACATCCTCAAAAATGTATTAGTAGCCTTTGTTACTACGGGTGAGTGTAGCACAGTGGTTAGAGGAGCACGGCAGTGCACATGGGATCGATCCTGCGCCCCAGGATCACCAAGCCTTCCATCTCTGCGGGGTCGGCAAATTAGTACCAAACTTTTCTGGGAGGAAAGCAAATCTGACTCGATACATCGGTGAGCCACCGCAAGTCGTTATAAAGCCTAGACATGCATTAAGTCACCTCCAACGATGCTTAATGAAATCGAATGCATGGCGCATTCCTCAGGAATTGATCAACGCCGAGAGCTTTCTTTAGTTTTATACTTTCTTAGTAATGTTGTTACATACTTATTAATTGTTGTGATCTCCTTCAATGATTAATACCCGCCCACCTAATTAGTCGTGAGGATATCTGGTGAATAGTCACATGTGTTAAACGCAGGCTAACAGCGATGCCCTTGCCATGCTAGTAAGACCCAAATGACGAATTCCTTGCCTTTGCTGTGATGAACTGACATGTGCTTACTGTGTGCACATATTGGTTTATGAATTCCTAGCTTCGCTTGCGTATATATTGTTTGTGTATTCCAAAAGAAGCGGGGAACAAGGGCGCATTCCTCCTTTAACAAAAACATTAAGAAAGGATGTACACTGAAATGTCCTTTGAAATATTATATATTACCAACACAATAACTTAAAACGTTGTTATAATAGCAGTAGAAATTTCCGTTTTCATGTCTGCTGGGCGGATCCCAGCACTTCTCACCTTCGATTCGTTTCCTTGCATCCATTGTCCACGAAGATCTTCCAACTTTTACGTGTGGTTTTGGTTGCTGCTTAAGGATTTCCATTTCATTTTGAATGTTGTAGAATGCTGGTCGAGCAATTCTCCTTGAAGTCCTGAGATAGCTGGGCTAGAGCGTTTCCAACTGGATTGCAGAGAGTGATTTTTTCCCAGGCAAGTCGGATACCAATTTCCCGACCCCGGAGAGATGAGAGGCTTGGTTGACACGAAGCGGAATAAGAGTAACACCATGCTCGTGGCGACGGAAACCACTACCACGGTGCTATCAGTTCCCTATTAGTAGTAATACCAATAACAGCGCGACGATAATAATCAGTGATAGTACTAGTGATATCAATAGTGCCTTTTTTATCATTAACTATATCTGTGTTGTTCAACTGGGCTCTTATGGAAACTTTCCAGCACTCTTGTCGGAACGGTACGCTCTTCATCGCCGTTCATAATTCATCTTTCTATCCATGCTATTACGCTGGTCAACACGTACGTATTAAAAAGGTATTGTTTTCGAAACTTGGGGCTAATGAACTTCTCATTTTAACTCTTAGGTCTTTAACCTTTCGTTTTTTCTTTTTTCGTTGACACTTGTTTGTGCATCAAAATTCATACCTCCCTATGATTATATCTAATGAATAACTGAAGAAATGAGTGAAAATAGTACTACGAGGCTAAGCAAAGAATCTAATACGCATCCATTGAATTCGTTTTCTATTCGGTTTATGGTTGTCCTTGATTGGTTATCACTAATTATTTGATTGATCACGTTGTGTGTGATTAAAGAAACGACAAGAAGCCGATTGACCAAAAATCAACTTAAGATGAATCAAATTCCTTCGTTGAGAATGAAATTCTTTTTGGTTTGCCGTGAAGTAGGTTTTTTGCTCTTTTTTCATGAAGTGTTCTTCTGAGATGTAAAGCCTAGTAGACTATAGGTACCATCGGAAAGGGTATTCGAGGGTTCGAAACCCACATGAGGTTCCTAGTTTTGCTCATATCTCAGCATCCTTGTGGTTATAATTGACTATAGTTAAGCATGTAAATAATAGTTAAAACAACTTTTCGTGACATATTTAGATCACCGACGGTTGGCTTCGCGAAGGTGTGATAGTGTGTCCGGCTTGTCGTGAACTCTGTTCACAGTGTAAAACGCATGAAAAGACGAAATTATATATTGGTAATTATTGATTACTACGTTTGGCCTAGAATAATATGACAGTTGACATAGATATCATACATTTAGAAATACGTGTTAATTTTTTAAAAGTTCGTATTAATCGTACTTGCCTTTTTCAGGGGACCCTGATCTTGATGAGCCTTGCTCAGGCTCATTGTTATCAATACGGATCTCACTTTGCGTCGTTTTGGGACTTCTTGTCAAAGCCGTTTAAAGTCCAATATCCTATTTTATATAAATAGAGCCTAGAACGGCCAGTACAGATCTTTAATACTGCCAGACGCCATTGAATATATCACAAATTCTGAACAAGCATGTCCTATTGATTCCACAACTTCATCGATTACAAGTATTTCATGCGACCTTGCATTCCATGTATGTATAACAAGTCGGGGTTGTCGATGTCTATTGAGCTTAGACAGCCGTCTAAACTCCTATGTAGGGGCTGACTGGTCTCAGAGATCCCAGACATAGGACTATATCTCATCAGCCAAATTAAAGACTTCTGTAATAATTAGTACCGATAGTGTACAGAGAAAATCCAGGTTTACCTTAACAGCATCGCACTATCCCTTTAACTTAAGGTCAGAAATAGGTGTGGTTTCGTTGACTGTTTTATGTAATGTTTTATATCATAAACGCCTTAACTTGAGAACGCGTTATTCACTTAGATCCTTTCTGTGATAAATCCATTCGAGTTTCACTCGAATATCAACATTCTGTGAGGCATCTACGGGTGCGCATTTGTTTCTCGTGAGTTGTTAATAGTCCGATAATAGCAATGACAATTTTCCTGGTAGTCCTACCCGGTTTTGTTGATATTTCACCAGTCACTTGTTCGGTTTTGTTGTTAGTTCAGAATCATGTGGAATAAAGAATTTTTTTGTTTTTCTTTTTTCTTTTTTCTCTACTGTTCTGATTCTCATCGGGTCGAGTTCTGCAATTACTCTTTAAATTGTTTTTACAGTAACTGAGAACCTATAGTTTCTTCTTTTTGAAACAAATAACAGTGGGAATAATCCATGAAAACTCATCGAGTGTAGCAGTGGTTCATGAGAATAGGTTACTACGTACCTCAAACTTGGATAATTAAACGATACACAAACAATACAAGCCATAACATGATAACGGAACCAGTAAGGAGAGATAATATATGGAGTAAGAAGTTACAGAACGCTTGGAAATAATAGGGTACTTCCTGTACTAGCATGACGAAATAGTGTGGGGAAATTTTGTATAAAGCACGACTAGGACAAGTAAGGAGGAAGCGGTAGCGCAGAAACAGATGAGCAGAAATGGTTGATGGTGAATTCTTGATGCTCATTGGAGGCAGATGCCACTGGAATGGGGTCAGCGAGCCAGTGTTTTTCTCAGTATAGGAATGTCAACACAAAAAGAACATAAATAGCTTGGAACGATAAGGCTGTCGGCGTTGATCAATCCTCGAGAGATGCGCCATTCGTTCCACTTCACTAACCACCGTTAGAGGAGATTGAATGCATATTTGGCCTTTACAATGACTGGCGGTGGCCTACCGATATATCGAGTCAGTGCTGCTATCCTTCCAGACAGGTTTGGTACCTATTTGCCGATCAGTGCGCTAACGCGCCGTTAACTTCATTCGAATGGTGTTTCACTTCACTAGATTCCAGTTCTAGCGCGACTATGAAAGCTGACATCGCAGTAGAGTTTATTCTAACCACAATAATGCTGAGGTATTTGCAAAACTCCGAACTGCACAGTTTACTGTTTCAGAAAAAAATTTTTGAAGTTAAGCCTGGTTGAGAACAAAGTGGCCTTTTCAAAATAATCCAGATGTTTTCACATTTCAAAAACCAACTTTTCTTTAACTTCGGTATCATAAATCAATACATGTTTAAATTGGCGAGTCTACACGAAGTTTTTGTCATCAGAGCCGATGATCCAAGTCGATAGGCCACAGTTGTTCGTCTGCTGGATGTAGCTTCTTCGTTTTCGTATAGAGTCGGTTCGCTCAGAAGTTTTGTCTCGATTATGACACGATCCTATTCTATTCGTCTCATGGTGTAGTAGCTGCCATCCATCGGTAGAGTTCTTTTCTCACTAGTGTTTTGAATACTGGTTGAGCTTAGTGTACTCCAAAATCCCGAGATAGCCGTACCGGAGCGTTACCAGTTCTTCACCACCAAACGCCGACTTTTGTGGAAAGCAAGAACTTTTGACTTCTTATAATTGAGATTTCGATAAGGATAGTTCTATAACAGTAGCAAGTAGCAAAGTTGTCCTAGTAATAGGCACGGAATCCGTCCTACAGTTATGCTTCATGAATCAATTTAAAGTGAGGAGATGATAGATATATGCGTATCTCTGCTAGATTTTCTTCATTTGCTCCCTTAAAATTCATTTGCTAACGATTTTTGTGCATCGGGTATCACTTGGACGTATCATGTCGATCCCCCTATTTTTCTTCATTTTACCACAGAAGGTGAATCTATCTTTAGGCCCTAACGTAGTTTAGAATTTCAGACTCCGTCTCACAATTTCGTAAATCCGAATACTTCTAGCATCGCCCTCTTGACTGCGGGCTCGGTAGTGGTGAGTGATCTTGCATCCTGCCCACATAACGCTAAAGTTTAAGGCTGGAAGAAGCATGATTTTTTCAACAAAAGACCAATTTTTTCACAAGGGCTGTCAGTGTCGGAAAGTGTTTGCTCCTGCTGCCAATGCTTGGTGTTCTAACAGCGATATAATCAGCAGAACGAATGTGGTATTGCTGTACGTTGACCTACCCAGACCTGGTGTTCTAAGATGCTTCAACGACGATGGGCATAATGGAGTTCGGAACAAAGCAAGATTGGAAAGACAAATCTATCCTGTCTGATTTAACACCGAGGTAGATGAGTGTGGCTGAGGCGATCAGAGAAGAAGGCATGCAAGGTTTTTTCCCATTGTCTAACTGGATACAGTGACTGTTTCGAGTGGGTCTCGGAAAACGACATTCGCATTGTTGATGGCGAAGACTCGGCATGCTGTGTGAACGCCCTTTCTAGCTTCTATACCATGCAACTATAATATTCGAAGATATTCGTTCCGTTGATCGTGAATGAGGCATACGAAACCAATCAAGGTTGAGCAGAAGGAAACGAGCGACTTGAGAGCTTTCAAAAGCATCGAGGATGTAGTGAAGAGAACAAAGAACACCTGACTCCGTGCCCACCTTTTCGACTTAACGGTACTTGCTGCCTTAACCTATGCGTCAGAAACCTCGCTGCATAAGCAGGATAAAAGAGCACTCAGCCTTGTCGAACGCGCAGTCGAAAGGACGATGCTAGAAGTATCCCGTTTCACACAAGTAAGGGATTAAATCCGTAACTCCGACCCGCATCAACGATCAAAAATCAAAGATACCATTCTGTACGTCAAACAGTCGAAGCTAAGGTGGGCCGAACAGGTAATGCGTATGAATGACAACCGATGGACAAGAGCCGTTAGTGACTGCGTTCCTCGGGAAGTCAAACGTACTGCAGGAAGACCACCGACCCGATGATCAGAGTTCTTCACGAAGAGCCTAGAGGAAAGATATCATGTTCCACGAGTCCCTAGAGCCAGCAGAACCCACTGGGCTACTCTTGCACGCGACAGGGAAAAATGGAAGATTTCCTGGCGCCCGCTCGAGTCAGTGTACGATCAACGGGACCACAGATAATACAGGTGATACCATCTAACCTTGAAAGAAAGGTTTCTAACAGTGTGAGTTATATGAATGGGAGTGCTTATCGTGACAAAATCAGAAAGCCGCTCACCATGTTTACCCTATTGAAATTCATAGTTGGCCTTCCGTGAAAACTTCTTTAGGTTCGTATGAAATGCTTTGACCCCTTCTTCGTTATTGGGTATAGACGACGAAGATTATCAATCAGTACCGGAATTGGTCCACATTTTTCAACTTAGACGTTTTATTTGAGTCGTTAGATTTCGAAAGAACGTTGTTCTCTTCGATTTCCACCGGTTGAAATCGTCTCGACAAGACATCAAAGCCGCCGAATTCTCTATAGCGGCATAGTTCGAAGAGTTCTTCGTTGGTTTCATACGACGTTTAGCGGTAGTGTATTCTCAACTCGCCCAAACCTTCACCGTGCTTCATTTTGTTAACATGCATCTTCTGGTCCTCAATAGATGATTTAGTTACTCATAGTTCCTTAAGATTGGGAGAACACCTACCACCTACTCAACAATGCAGAACCGTGTGCTCGTTTGTTGTCAGTGGAACTGTATCCTGTTATTTTTGACTTACCAACGAATAGATCCCTCAATTCTGCCCATTGTCATTGGTAATACTAACGGCGAACTGTAGGTAGATGAAGAAAAGTTTTAAAACAAAAGTTTATTGCGGGCAAAGAGCCCTGCAATTTTAAATAGAACACATTGAAATATAGTGGGTTTTGAAAACTTGCCTTAAACGTCCGCGGCCACTAAAAACAACATTCATCTTTAATAGAAAATTTACTGCAGTAAATAAATCTGTCATTAGTGAACAAGTCGAACCCGATCATAATTACTAGACACGCTCCAATTCAATAAATGATGACCCAGTAGCGAATATATGATCCAGTCGGAAAAAACGTGTCCCAGAGTAGATGAGAGAGAGATGAACCACTTGTTGCGTCGCTCCTAAATACTACTCGTGTAATTTGCAGTCTCTTAGTGGTGTACCGTTGGTCGAATTTAAGTACAGGATATAATCCGTACGAACATAGACAAATACATGCCAATCATTTACAACACAGACGGGGACTAGATCTCAATTCCTGCTCGCTTTGCAGAAAATGGAGAACGTTTCGCAAACATTTCATTTAAAAAGGCGCAATTCTATTGAGAACTGCGAAGGAAACGTTAATGTGAAGCGAAAATTGGGTCGTTCTCGTCCGATGATCACCAGATGGAGCCGTGGATTTATGAAGAAGAGAATTGGCAGAGACGACGTCCTTAGCCTAAAAGATATTGCTGAAATCTGAGAGTAGCTTGCTCACCTGTCCATTCGAACGTCAACGAGGAACTGGGATTTCAGACCTATCTTTTGCTCAACAGATAACAGATAAGCAATACAGCTAGGGCAAATCGATTAGATAAATACTGAGAAATGCTGAAAATCATTAAGACATGCCACTTGAGATATGTCCTACACTCGAGTGAGACCGTTTTCACGGTTTGATTCGTTCATAACTCCGAGAACAG